AGAAATCATAAAGGAATGAAAGGTAATAATAACCTGGATCATGATATTTTCTGCCGACGAAGCGAAAGGGTGATACGAGAACAGGCAGAAGGAGGGCTGTTCACGCGAGAGGGGCGGCGCCAGCAAAGAGGACCGAGCCACCTCGTTCACTTCCTTCAGGAGGTCTCTGTCCCAGGTCAGCACAGGTCAAGGTCAGTTTATTAGGAGAATGAAACGCATTTTCTGGGACATGAGTTTAGTATCTCATTATGCAAGTGATTACTTTGCAAACTTTTTCAGTAAATTCTCTGTAAGCGAGATGAAGATATTTGAACTGTTTAGTAAAAAATATTAAGGTTTTAGATCCTGTTTATACTCGATTTAACCGTGTAACTTTTTAGTTATTCCGATCTCAGTAACAATTGCCACTTGATATACAACTGTTGATAACATACATAAATGCAAAATCATAATGCTAGCTGTGATATTAATGTATATAATCTGTCTACCTGAAAAGTGATGTTGATCGCAATTGGTGTAATGAGCAATTAAGATTTAAGAATGGAAGAATAAAATGTGCCATATACAGTAAATTATAATGACAATTAACGGTTTAAAGTTGAGATGAAGAATACCAGCGCGTCAGTCTTCATAACAGTAAATATTCCAGTTGATAATGAGGCAGAAATGTTCCATGTTTTGTCCTGATTATCTGCGGTGTCATCCGTGCATTCTACTCTTGTCCATTGGCTGCTTCATTAGAACTTCAGCGAAAATGGCCATGTAAAGAGCGTACGATCGAACGATTATATCTTTATCATTTATTTTCACGTAGACTTGAAGATGAATGGAAGCGCAGAGTACGAACGTATTACTATTCAAAATGTACCCAATTTGTGCTTCAGTGTGAATGTCCAGTGTGATATGCTTTAAAGAAAAACAAACCGAGTGATATCGGTAATATGGAAGAATACCTGGAGTCTTCCCCCGGCGACAGGCTAAGGAGAAGAAGGGGACAGTTGATCCACAAAACAGTTTTTGCTTCAACGAATTTCCTCACAACATTCACGTTACTGAACACCATGACCACCACGCTACTTTCTTCATTCAAACCGCGCCGGAAGTCAGGAAAGTGTCCTGTCTCCTGTAGGAGGCTCGGCATATCTCCCAGCTGGATGGACAGGTGGTGGGGCGAGGCCAAGAAATTCTGAAGGACGTCCGCGGCTTCAGGAGAACCGTCTTGAAGAAGAACAGACGACTTGGCTGTTCGGACGGCCATGTTTATGAGCTGTGATCCTTCATGTAGGACGTCACCTGGGTTTCTCGGAAGCCTTGTTCGGGGGGCTGTGGGTTGAGCTGAATTTTTTTTTTATTCATGATGATGATGATGATGTTTATTATTATCACTATTATTTACTTATTTATTTAACATTATTTGCTTTTTGTATCGTGCATTTTGAGGGCCTAATATTTACTTCGGTTGATATAATTTCTGATCCTAAACTTACATATACGCAGCAAGATGATCGGGATTTTTAGCTGAAAAGACTGATATGAGAAATGTTGAATGTGTATTTATGACTACTACGAATATTAAGAGAACGTAGTCACCAAATATCAGTCCTTTGGGTGATATTAGGGAGAAAACATGAAAAACTGCTTTGTTTTTCTCACATTGGGGTTGGCACGTACAGTATTTTTAGCACACAGTATAACATAATACATTTCACAAAACCTTTTTCCCGTTAGCCGACTTTTTATAACAACAGACCACATTTCTTGCATGATTATACGATGCCGAGCATGAGCATGTTGTTGCAAATTCTGTTATTTAACGGAATGTTTTGAAATTGGATTTGGACATTGATCAATCCAAATACAAACGCGAATCTCCTCTCACGATAGAAACACGATAAGTAACCCCATGACTAAGGATAAAAGTAGGAACGAAGTGTGGATAATATCGGTCATTTTTCAATCACGTAAAAATGCAAACAAATGATAAATTCTAAGAAATATGGAGTTTGTTATTAATAAGAGCTATTATGATATTGATCAAATCAGCTATCTCCCATTGTCCAGAAGGGCATAGTAAGCAAAGACGAGAAAATTCGACATGTCTTAAAGGATAAACGGTCAAAACAACATAAGGTGTTGATGACGATCTATGTGCATGTTGGGACAATAAATTGTTAATTCTCCGTTGTGCAAAGTATCCCAAACTTCGAGCATTTATTCATGGAGAAGTGTACACGACTTAGACCTAAAAATTCCTTACTTTATGTCCCTCCTATTTATGTATGCTTAGATTGTCCATCTTCCGTCCTCCTCTTCAGCACATCTTTCTGTTCTTTGCTTATTCTTTATCATTAACTCTGACAGAAGTAAGAATCCCAACGTAAGAATTCACTCCATCTCACGTTTACTATTACAGATGACAAATCAAAGGTATGCGATACTTACCTCCGGCGTGGCACAAGGCAGCCAGCACGAAGACTTGAACAGCTGACAAGGCAGTCATCTTATGTCATCACCTGTTCGGTATAACAAGCTGCTGTTTCGAAAATTGGTAATCTTAAAACAATGCGATAGGACCTGTAGGATAACTGTTTTTTTTTTTTTTTTTTTTTATACAGGCACTACGGCAGCCGTAACAGTTTTATATCTAGTAATTTTGATTAGAGTATTTATTACGTTACACGTTATTTTCAGTTTTCTGATACATATGGCTGATGCCCTAATAAACATTTTATTCCGCTTTACTTAACAGTATCCAGATCTCTAGAAAAATATTAAGTCATACAACGTGATGTCCACATAAAATCGTGATGATTTATCGGACTGTAATTTCAAAAAGCAAGAAAGTGTGTTAGTTTTGGTGTGTGACCGTTTATCAAAGGACATAGAGCTTACAGTAACACCAGAATTCCTTCAATTCAATATCTCAACCAATGGAAAATCGCAAGACGCAGCACAGACCTGCTTATGCTGCCCTCGTCGCAAAATGCAACCGCTTGTTTTGAAGAACCTAGCTAGTGATGCGCCTCTATTCCCCAATACCCTCTGAGACTCGAATGCTAATATCACGGGTTTGCACTTGCTTATATGCAATGCAGATTGAGGTAGTTATGAGACGCCTCGCACCGATTGGCTCCTTGGTGGTGGTTCTCGCTGTCCATTGGCCGAAGACGTCTCCTTTTCTAAGAGATTTGACTTTTCTTTTCTTCGCGGATTGACAAGTGTTACAGTAATTTTTCTTTCAAAGGCCACCTAAAATCACTAGCTGTGTTTCATCCGTTCTCTTGATTCATGGCGGTGTTAGGGATATACCGAATATTAGATTTACATGCAATGTTAGAGCACATGAGTCAGTTTTTAGAATTACCAACAAAAGGTAATATTTATTTTTTTTCGTTTGACAGAGCTACTAAGACCATTTGCATTAGAAATTATATTCATAAATACACGAATCATGAAAACAGGCAGTGTATGTATGCAAAACATGCGTCCCCCTTTTCAGATGCCACAAAAGCGTCCTGAAATTTCAAGATTTATAAGAAACAAAATGACGAAAAGGTCATCGCCACATTCCCTAAGGCCTCATAGTTGTAAGTGTGACCACAAGGGAGGTGGCTGCGGACAAGATAAACGTTAAGGTGCACTAACCACGAGGAGCATATTGAGCGAGACGAGAAAATAAGCTAATAGTTCTGTCCGCTAACCATCGGGAAGGATAATGGGCGTTTTAACTTTGCATGACATGATAACATAACAAGCCCAAAATTTCACAGTCTCTTGTGATTTTCTCCTGAGAAGCAATATTCCCAAAAGGATGTTGAAAGAAATGGAAGAGGTGCATTCGGCTAACCAGACTGAGGTGTTTGTGATATTTCCATTCAGGTTACGGTGACACGGGAGATTTTTAAAATATTCATGTTTGCAGTTTGTTTTGCTACTTTCTAGTCTAACTCCCTCAAAGAACTATAGTTGCTTTTCATGACAAGTTAAGCATGGAAAATCGAGATATCGTAAAATTCTATTCCAAAACGTATTAATTCTATAAAGGAGCTTGTTCAAATCTGTCGACATGTAGAAGCGAAGATAACACCTGTGATACAAATAAAACGTATCATATCTGACCTTCCAGGCAGTGTCTGGGTAGTCTATTTACATATAGTAGCTATTATAGACCATTAAGATTATGATAGTGACATAACCCATGCCAAATTACAATAGGTCACGGGATCAGATTGTATGAACCAAATCTTAAAACGAAAAAGGCAAGGATTAGAGACAAGGAAGTTGGATATTGTTTACACGCCATTTCGTTGAAAGAGCAAATCCTTTTATCTCTGTCGCTCAAAAAGAAAAGGATACAATTGTATGAAATGAAGACTTATATGGCTTGTGAACGGTCATGCATTGTGGAGATTATGTCCATATATTAAAGGCTTACTACTGCGTGGTTATATATATGAAGCCAGATGACATTCTGCGTTTCTCGTCAAGATTTTTACATTTCATTATGATTCATTCGGTCAATTATGGGAAATATCATCCCTTCACACTCATGCATACTATTATTTCATATCAGTTTAGGTTCTAGTGCTTGTTTTACCTGTATTTGGTAGCTGATATTGATATCTGCTTAAACTGTTATTGAATGCAGATAGCAAATTAAAGTCCATTGACTCACATGCCACTAAAGGGAAAATATATAGGGAATGCCATCTTTAAATATCTCACTTACAAGCCTTTTGCTGGAATTAGTCATTTCTTCTCTTATATGATTTTTTTTTTTTTTTGCAGGGCTATAGTTACGAGAAGCTTGGTATTTGGTTATGTTAATTACGATAGTTCTGATTTGCGAACCAATGAATTCTGAAGGCTAAGAAGTGTATGTAATATTGGGAGTTGATATTGCCAAATATTTTGATTATGATTAAAAGGTATCTGACCACCACCAATAGCTAGTTTGGTTTTACTAATGGACATTCTACCAACTTATCCATATTCTGGATTGCATAGTTTAGTTGTTATTTTTTTTAATGTCTTTAAGTGCATTTTTATGTTTATCTTAGGAATCAGGAACTAATGCGATTTGTAGGATGATCGATAGGTTTGTAATGCGAGATATGCTCGTTTTCTAGTACAGGCGTAGTTTTTATCTGCCAAGGTATGCTTTAATGCTTGTAACACACGACCCACTTCACGGTCGTGTATTCAGTTCTGTTGATATGAAAAATATGTACGTAAACAGACTTGCGGTGTGCACGTGTCAAGGAATGTAATTGTTAAAGTCGAAATCAACTGTAAGAGATCTTATGCATTTCATTACAGAAACATTAACGTAGAGGAAGGTAATTGTGAGTTAGAATGACATATTTAGGCATTTCTTATGAAATGCTTATGTCTAGTTTGTGGCAGCGATTACTTGCAAATTAAGTTGCTCCAGTGCAAGCATTTATGGCAAAAAAGCACTTTTAAATTCGATTAATCAACATAAGGGTCCTCTTGAAAATATTGATGTGATTCTCGTTATATATATCTATATATCTGTATATGTGTATATGTATATATATACATATATATATATATATATATATATATATATATATATATATATATATATATATATACACGTGTGTGTGTGTGTATGTATGTATGTATGTATTCCAAGTTAGAGTGTTTACACACTTTCTCTCTTTCACGCATTTATTTATATACTTACACACATATTTATGTACATATAGGCTACTGTTTATTGTACATTCACACACCGCGAGCGCGTTCACTTTTTCACTCCTGTCAGCACTCGCACGCTCAACAGCCGATGTAAGGCGTAATTCTGAAGCAATTTTCTAGTATCTGAACTTTAAAGGGTAACGATAATGACATCGATATTATATCAAAGAGGTATTTTGCCGCGAATTTGGGAATCATTTTATCGATAGTTCAAAGACATGAAAAAACGAAAAGGAAAAACTAAGATATATATATATATATATATATATATATATATATATATATATATATATATATATATAAATTAATACATTTTCCTTCTCTTTTATCTGTTTTGCGGATTTGGAAACAACTAATAAAGAGCATTTAAAATAAAGAAACAAATCCAGATGCGTGGAGGGAGAGTGTGATAGGTGAACAGCAACTTGGATTAATGTCGGGCAGGGACACAACCTTTGCTTTAAGGCAAATGATAGAGAAATATGTGGAAAAAACAGAGAGAACTACATCTCATATTTACAGATTTAGGAAAAGTATATGGTAGAATGCCGAGAGAAGAAATGTGGAGGTGTATGAGAGAAAATCAAGTATCAGAACAGTACGCAAGACTTGTGTGGATGGGGCAGAAAAGTTCGTGGTTAAAGTTGGGCTTCATCAAGGTTCGGCTTTGAGCCCACACATATTTGATTTGATGATGGATGTACTCAAGCCGGAGGGAGTACAATCAGCTCCATGGGATATACTATTTGGTGGAGTCTATAGTCCTGTTAGACACCAACCAGGGCTTGAGATTAGTCGAAGGAAAACGAAGTGTGTGGTTCTCAATACGGAGGACGCAGGTTGAGGATATCCGGCTGCTGGGCGGAAAAAAAATGAAAAGGACTAATACCTTCAAATACTTAGGCTCCTGAATGTCATGAGATGGGGCACTGGACCAAGAAATCAATCTCAAGATACAGTTAGGCTGGAGAAACTGGAAGAATGTGTCAGGAGTTCTGTGTGATAAGAAAATTAGTATGAGAATGAATGGAAAATTATACAGGACGGTGGTGAGACCAGCAATGATGTAAGGGTCAGAAGCGTGGCCGACGGCAGAGGAGGCTTGATGTGGCAGAAATGCGTATGTTGAGGTGTAGGTACGAGATTTGACAGGATTAGTAATGACAGAATCTGTGGAACAACGAAAGTATTGGAAATATCAAGGAAAATACTGGAGAGAAAGTTTTAAAATGGTACGGTCATGGAATGAGGAGAGAGGAGGAATATGTGGGAAAACGAGTGCCTTAATATGGAGGTAGAAGGGAGAAGGAAAAGAGGAAGGCCAAGAAAGAGGTGAAGAGACTGCCTGCAAACAGATTTTAGAGAGAAGAACATACCTGGCGAAGAGTATTTTGATAGGCAGGAATGGAGAAGACTATCCAAAAATAGCGACCCCGTATAAAGACGGAATTGAGCTAAAGGAGAAGAAGGAGAAAAAGGAAACAGTCGACATTTACCCAAATGTGTGAGCAAAATTCACGTAGCCAAGTAAACCGCTTATTTCTAAATGAAGCTAAGAAACTAAAATCGTGAAGCAGGACGAAGCACTAGTATTAGAGTTGAAGCATACTGACCCGTATAACAGTATGGCATATGATTTTTTCTTTCGAAGAAGGAAAGTGAAATTTTTGATTTACAGATGATAGCAGTATTATGCAGATCTTTTAAAAGACACACATACCCACACTTACAGACACACACACACACACACACACACACACACACACACACACATAC